TTCTGCAGACATAGTTTCTTCGTCACGGCATCGAGTTTCTTGGTCACCTGCCAGGTGTCATCATCTAGGTCGAGGAGGGAATCATTTTCCACAGTCAGTGCCTGGGAAATCGGTTTCATCACTTGTGGCAAAGGAAAACCCAAAGCTCGTAGTTCACCTCGAACATCAGGATCCGATGCCGCCCAGGCTCGAGAACTGTGAGCCGTGAGAATATACCTGGGACCAGACCACTTGCAAGAAGCATGAGGAACAAAGGGATCAAAGCACACGGGATTGTGCCATACATTCTCATTCACCCCTTTGATACGTTGTCCATCCCTCTGCACCTTCCACCGGATCTGGTGCACAGGCCTTTGTCGCTCACCGGGAGTGAGTTGTCTCCATAAATCTCCACCGTGATATTGTCCCAGTCCTACAGCCATGTTGAGACTGCCATGTAAGTTGTGACAATCTTTATGGATACTGCTTCCAGCATTCAAACCAACAGTCACAGTAGTCCATGTTTGCACCGGGGTACCGAACTCAAAGGCAACCTTGCGCATAAAGGAGTTGAGATACTGAACCAAATGAGGAAATGCCTGAGCTTTCGAGGTCACACCAGACATTGCTCCATGTGCAAACATGCCGAACGACAGGTACTGACCTCGTGACTGAACGCTCTTGCGCTGTTTCTCTTTCGTCCATAGAAGCTCCATGAGTTGAAACAGGCTCTCGCAGTCGGACCACTCAAGGCGATTCGTCCGCATTAGCTCCAGTGCAAATTGCTCTATGCTTTCACGGGCATCTGAGCTCACATGAACTTGTTCGTGATCTGAAGATTCTACTCCGAGAGATTCTCCACTTGCTCGGCTGTGAGGGCGTGATGCTTCTTTCGGCTGCCGTGCACGGGCATCACCCAGTCGGGATCCTCCGAACTGGCTCCCCGATCCTTCGGCACCTGACTCTGAGTGGACACTGGGGGACCGGGAGCGCTCTCGTCCGGGTCGTTCGCTATCTCCTTGGTAGCAGGCGGCACCTTCGGTGAGGCATTGAGCTCCTTGGCCTTGGATCCACTCTTTGGCTTGGCACCCTTCATCCTCTGTAGTTGCGACCAGCGATCCATGAGAGATTTCTCCGCCCCCGAGATTGCTATGGCCCTCGTTGTCAGTTCCTCCTGGGCCTCGGGAGTCCCCACTGTCGCAGTCATGGTTTGCAACACATGGGCCGTGTCGGCCGGGAGAGGTCCTGCGCTTCTGTAAACTCCCGTGGCTCCATACGCAGGAGTGTAGCTGAGTCTGATTCCGCACCGTTCGCAAGTGATCCACTCTCCATGTGCATTCCGTCCGGAACGGCTGCCGCGCCCCATGGCCTGAGGCTTGTGCTCGCCGTTGCAAGGACCACCAAGAGCTCTCGGATCGCGGGTGTCCACTGACACCGTGCGGCTGTAGTCGAGCCTCTCCTCGGGAGGCGCCCGAGGTTTGTCCTTTCCCCGGTTCTTGCTCTTCGCCTTGGGCGCAACGAACTCCTCCAGGGTCAGCTTCTCGACGTCTGTCGACTTGGACATGGGTTCTATGGCTCGAAGACTCGGAGAGGGATTCCAAAGATCTCACCACACTTGCCAAGCTGGAAATGTCTTCAGGTATGGGATTGTCAACGCCGGCATCAGACACATTCTCTTGTACTGCAAATACTGACAACGGTTCACACGGCACACACATGCACTCATCGACTGAAAGATCTGCACAAAACTGTAAACTTGACTGGGCTGCAACACTGACCCCTGATCGTGGCATGTATTGCTGCGTAGCCTGAGATCCGCTCTCGGGTGCTGAGTCATGAGGCTCAGAGCTCCAAAACTGATCTAACGTCACGGACTCGCTCATCCAGTCCTTGCTCAGGTCGAGAAGAAGATGACCTGACGGAGACTCCTCCAGCCTGATGGCAATGCGAGCATTCACGGACTGGAAAATCACGAGCCGACGGGAGACATCGATCAGGGCGCCCAGCTTCTTGAGGGTCTTCACCGAAAGGAGCACTGGGACACCCTCAGCATCGAGAGTGTGCACGCCCAGGTAGATCAGGTGACCATCCAGGCGCTGGGG